GGAGCCTGGTCGAAAAAAGTCTTCAATTTATGTTGACGTATTCGAATGAATCGTTCTATCATTGCTTGTCGACGTTCTTCAATAACATTTAACAATAAACTTGTATAAATATGTGGATACTGTTTATTAAGATTTAATAATTTTTCTTTTAAATTAGTTAATGTTAAATTATAACGATGTGTAATAATTGCAAATTCATCTAATTCTACAATCATTAAATTAAATTTACATTGTATGATTGTTTTTGAACAACGTGACGCAAAATTAGCACGTTGATCTGGATCAAGAAAAGGATTGGAAAGTGCTCTTCGATTATCATTAAGTAGTTGGTCTATCATTTGATCTGTTTCTGGTGGTAATCGTTTTAAATAAATACGTTGTTCGAGTATTTGTTGTTGTTCTTTTGTTTTCTGTTCGTCAGCAGTTATTTGCCATAAATGTTGTGCTAATTGAATAAGTTCTTCATTCGGTTTTAATTCATAAAATTTCCTAAGTAATTGATGATCATTGCAATCTAATTTTATCATTTCTGTTTTATATTGAAATTCTTGTTTTAATTTTTTTTGATTATGTAGAACACATTCATTAATAGCATATGATAGTAATGTTCCATCAATGGATGGTTGCCAATGTACTATATCATTTAATAATTTTGCTAAATGTTCTTGTAATTCCTTGCCTAGTCGTAGCTTTTGTTTAGCAATTGTGGCTAAACGTTGTTGAATATAAGATTTTTTTGGTCGATATATTTGATGTAGACTGTTTTGACGAGCAAATTGTTTTGTTATTTTTGATTCCCAATTGTTGTCTTGAGAACTTATATTGTGATATTCTTGCCATAATTTTTCTTGAAAATCTTTATAATAAAAATTATTGGTAATTTCAGCTAGTTCACGCACAGCATAAAGTTTTTCAGTAGTATTTAAACATTGAACTAATTTGGAACCATCTTCAATACTTTCAGCTAACATTCGTTTGAATACTCGATCAGATACTCTTAAATAATGTGGCTTAAAATTTTCTAAATAATCATTTGTTGAATCATTTTCAGTATTTCGAATTGCGTTATGTGCGAATGTTGCTGTTGTGTTGGTGTTGTTCATATCTTCTTGTGATATTGTTAATTGACTAAAAGGTTCTTCAAGTAACGATGTTGCTGCAGCTGTTGTTATTGTTTTGGTTTTCTTAGGACCTGCTTGTGATATTGACGATTGATTTATAGGTTTATCAAGTATTGATAGTATTTCGGTTGTTGGTGTTGGTGTTAACAAAATTCTTTTTCGTTTCGTTCCTGTTTCCATTGCTGCTGGATCATGACTAATATTTGTTGGTGATGTTATCTTCGAAATAAAATATAGTCAAACACTTATAATCGTACACTATGTTAAAAAAAAATTACTTGTTGATTGTTTGAGTCATGTTTTTCGACTAGTTGTACATGTTGGCCTTGTTGTAGTTGAGGATGAAACTTTTCCTGAACAAATTTTGCCACCGTGTCCGAATCAAAACCTTGATTATAAAGTTG